TTCTTGTGGACAAAACTATGCCTTCTCCTGCGGATTCCAGGAGAAGGGGAAGGTGTTTTCTCTATTTCCCCTTTATGACAGTTTTTCTTATTCCCCATAGTCAATTGTTTGTTTACAAATAGCCTGGTGACTTAGATCTGGTCTTCTTGCTGAATGAATGGTCATGGGAAGGGTGGAAGTAGAAGAATAGAACAAACTGACTTGGTAGGAAAGATCCCAACAAAAGCAAACTATGTTCTACCTTCAGAGTCCTTCCCATGAAAGTAATATTTAACCCAAAGACCTATTTTGGGGTGGCATATTTTTGCTTCTGAAAAGTTTATACTCAAAGTGAAATGTCGCTGCTCAGGGAGGGTCTCTGGTCTGTGGTGACCTGAGGGATCTCCCTGGTGTGTTCAGGGCTGAGGATCACCATCTCCCCAGCCAGTCGATGGTGGATGAACGAAGGAATGGAGGGTACCAGGCCAGTTGGTAATCAATGGCCATTTATTCAAGTCTCACAGCATTTGTTATAGAGAAATCATGAAGGGTTGGGGTTAGTAATTACACACAGGTGTAGTAGAACATTATTACATACAATGAACAGATGTAAAAGCCCTCAAGGGAAGTTTTTCTAGGAGATTCACCATAGTAATGGACAGAATCTCATCTAGGGGCTCAGCACTCTAGATCTCTACTAGAAGATCCGCCCAAGGGCAGAATTCCATCTAAGGGTATACTGCTTTCTCCTTTCCTTTGTGAGTCTTAAATTACTTCTTAATAATATTCCTAGTCATTCTGTATGAACACAGTAAGAGATATATTAAGCTTAAAGGATAGCTTTTCCTGGGGACATCTCCATATACAGACCAGGTTAGTCTTTCCTAACCTCAGAAGGGTCAATAATCAGTTGCTTTTTTATGGGGGGTCATGTCAATTTGTTCCATGACCATGCTCTTAATTTATTATACTTCTTATGGTGCTTAGCCTGTCCCTTTTTGATGCCAAGGTAGCTTACAGCTTATCGTGGGTTCATCTTTGTTCCTCTTTGAGACGCCCCTTTTGGGGTGTTAGGAACTAAGGGCAACTAAGGCTTAAGTCAAGTAAATATGATGAATGCTCAGGAGTAAATATTATTCAGAGTCAATAAACCCCAAGTTACAAAACATAGCATTAACTCTCTTCCTGTGTCCAGATGAAAAGGAAACTGCCCTAAAGTAAACTATGCAAAGGACATAAAGAAAAGCAATATTTCACTTACATATACAAAAATTCAGAGCCCTCAGATTTGTCCTACAGGTTACAGGATCTGATTTTGGGTATATTTGTTATTAACAGACAGGGGAGGAAAAGCACAAAGGAAAGGTTAAAGATAAACACAGAGGTTTGGGAATGCCTGATGGAATTGGGTGTGCCTCAGGAGCACTATAGTAGACATAACTCAATAAACCTAAGTTCCTTTGTGGAGAGAGGAGTGGGAAAAATGGACAAATCAAAGTTAAACCTAAAATGCTTGGAACTATAATGCAATAGTCAAAAATGAAGAATCAGAGAGATGGCACAGGTTTAAGGTCAGATGACCTTATGGTCTGAGTACTGTCAGGAATGACAACTGAGCACAGAGCCAAAAGCAGCTCCTGAACACCACTAGGTATGGACCCCAATCCCAAAATAAGCTGATACATGAAATTAAAGAAAAAAGAGTACTTATATTTTATTAAAAAGATTTCCAAACAGAACCAGATAGTACAGGGTAGGGACCTTGCCTTGCATGAGGAAGACCAAGGTTCAATCCCTAGTACCCCACATGGTCCCATGAGCACAGAGCTAGGAATAAGCCCTAAGCACAACTGGGTATGATCTAAAAGTAAATTAAAAAAAAAATTTCTAAATAGAATAAGGCCCAAAAGATACAAATGAAGTATTTCCAAATAGAACAAGGCCCAAAAGATAAAAATTAAAAAATTCAGTAATGCTTGGGGCCTCCTGGGCTATTGTGGAGGTGTGCCAGGAAACATGTGATACTGGGGAATCACACTTAAGTTGGCTGTTTGCAAGGCATGTGTCTCATATTATCTCTGTGGCCTCTGCAGAGAGCAATTTAAAAATACTTGTCAGGGTGGGAGAGATAGTACAGTGGGTAGTGTGGTTGCCCTGCACATGGCCAACCCAGGTTTTAATCCCTGGCACCTCATATGATTTCCTGAGCCTATTCTGGTGTAATTCTTGAGTGCAGAGCCAGAAGTAAGTCCTGAGAACTGCTGGATCTGACTACACCCCACAAAGGGGCGGGCGGGGGGGGGAATCAAACATAAAAAGCAACAAGTAACACTTATGGATAAAATAATATTAAGTCTAAGAAGAACTGACTTTAAAATAGTCTGATGGGTGAATATCTTGCTTGATGAGGCTAGTGTGGATATAAATTAAATAAGATTAAGTACAAATTAAAAAAAATTAAGTACAAAGTTGTAGAAGGTGGCAGGTATTTGGAAATTCATTATACTAGTATATCTTTGTATAAATTTGATTTTTTCCAAAACCTTTTTATATTGTTTACACACTTGAACCTAGTAATTGCATTTTTTAGGAATTTAGTTTGTGTGATTTACAAATACACAACAATGTAAATGCAGGATATTCTCTGAGGCAATCTAGCAAAAAGCCTGGAAACAACTTAAACGCATATTGGTAGAATGGTTGAATAAATTATATTTATTTAAATATAGTAACATTTCTACTTTGAAAACGTATGCAGGCTATTTATAAAGGGAGGCTATTTATTAAAAGTCCCTTTTTATGAAAAGGGAAAAATATGAAGGAAAGAATAGTAGTCATAGTTTAATCATCTTTAAGACAAAAATCAAACATGTATATTTATTTCTAAATGCACATAAGACTTCTGCCAATATTTGTAACAAATTTCTAGAAATATAAGCCAAATTTTAATAGGAAATACATGTGTTTGGGTAAATGTTGAGAAACTGGGAAATTTGTGAACTTTTTGGGAGGCAGGGTAGGGTTTGGCTCACACCAGGAGGTGTTCAAGAGCTACTCCTAGCTCTGCACGTACAGATCACTCAGGAGATCATATGGAATACTGGGCATTGAAACTGGAACAGTCATGTACAAGGCAAGCACCCTATCTACTATATTATCTCTCTGGCACCTGTAACATTTATTTTCATGCAAATTTCCTTTTGCAAATGAACATGTTACATTAATTTATAAATTAAAAGGAATTAGATTTCTTAAAACCTTTATCTATAAGGGTACTGTCACTCATCTCATGCAGATGTTCAGGGTCAATATTGGAAAGAGCATGTTTAAACTTTATAAGCAGCACAAAAATGCCTTGGCAGTTTTATTGCTTAAACTTATCACAGGGCTCTGACCATATCTCTATATAAGCCAGGATTTGAATATTTAACATGAAATAAAGTAATTCCTCTAAATGTAAGATTCTATTTAGCATTAATTAAGAATATTGTCTATATGCAAGTCTGAGGCTAGAAAGAAATATTATTACAGTGTTCTTTATTCAACTAGTTTATAATCTCACCAGAGACAATATGCCTACAAAAAACAAAGAACAACTGATGTTACGCAAACACATGCTTAAAAAAGGAGAAGTCAAAGTAGGAATGAATAGCTGAGTTCATGAGAAAAAAAAAGTAGATTCAATCATTTTATTTCTGAGTTACACCTAGTGTGCTGAGGGCTTATTCTTAGTGGTGTTGGAGGATCATATACAGTGCCAAAGATCAAACCTGAATAGAGCTCAAGGCAAGCACCTAATCACCTGTACTCTCCAACCCCTCAATCTTTAAATATGCGCCTAACATATATAAAAGAGAGAGAATTACATAAGCAATAAGGAAGAAGACATAGAAATAAAAAACTGAGATAACAAAATTAGTCTGGCGATGAGAAATAAGAAGTAATATAAAGTAAATGACAAGCAAGAATAAATACATTTAATACATTTAAACATCCAGGTGAAAGCCCAAGTGTAAGTACAGCAGAAAAGGCATCTGGATAGTACAGTAGGAAAGGCATTTGCTTTTGCACATGTTGAACCTGGATTGAATCCCCAGGACCCCTGGGCCCACCAGGAGTTAACCCTGAATGCAGTCAGGAGTAAGTTCTGGTCACTGGCAGGTGTGCCCCTCAAAGAAAACAAAAATAAAGTAAAAATCCAGGCTAATGGGGGCATGGAGAGAGTATATGGTCCAAGTTCAATTCCCAGCATTCCTCCTAGCATTGCTGTGTGTGGCCCTGGTGGTTCCCAGCACCCACACCTCTGGTTCAGAGGAGCAACCCAGATCCTGAGGCTGTAGCATTGAGCTGCTAGCTTTACTGGTTATGTAGTCCCCCTGAGCACCACTTGGAAGATCCTGCCACTCAAAAAATATTCAGGCAAAAAAAGATTAATAAAATGCCACATAAAGTAACAAAATAGGAGACTAACACCCAAGAGTGGCCGAGATTAGTACCAGGAGGTATGCTCCATGGGTTGGAGCCAGCCACACATGCTAGGGGAAAAGGGAGCTCAGATAGAGAAGGGAGAACCAAAAAAAGGGTGTTGGGAGGATCCTCCCAGGATGGGAGAAGCATGCTGAAAGTAGACTATAGACCAAACATGATTGCCACTCAATGCCTCTTTTTGCAAACCACAACATCCAAAAGGAGAGAGAGAGAACAAAAGGGAATGCCCTGCCACAGAGGCAGGGTGGGATGGGGAGGATGGGAGGGTGGGAGGAATACTGGGACCCACAGTGGTGGAGAATGGGCACTGGTGGAGGGATGGGTATTTGATCATTGTATGATTGAAATCCAAGTGCAAAAATTTGTAAGTCTACAACTGTACTTATAGTGTTTCACTAATAAAAAAAAAAACCACAAAGAAAAATTTTAATAAATGCTTGTGAGCAATAGCTTGCTACTTAGCATAAACAATGTATCTTTGCTTCTTTTTGGCTTTCTTGACATGAAAACTAAAATAAATATTATTTCAATACCTCCATTCCAGGTCCGCATTCTAGTGGTCTCTTCTTTCTTGGTCCAATAGCTGCAAGAGCTGTGAGATTAGCATCTCTGTATTGTATCTGAGCAAGCTCCAACTGTTGTAGCTAGGAGATGGAACAAAAAAGAAAAACAAAGCCAAAAATGTTTACATATAGTCATGGTAAAAGGGGAAAGAAGCTGATCAATAGTCCTATTTCTGTACTCTTCAACAATTAAAGTGACTGTGTAAGTATTATAATTTTCTCACAAGGCCTATCATTCCTGATTTCTTTACCCCAACAAAATTTTCAGTACTGAATTTTTAAATAGAAGGGATCTGCCAGGTGTGATCCCTGAGCATAGAGCCAGTATAAGCCCTGAGTCTGAGCTGGGTGGGACTGAAAAACAAACCAAAAAAAGAAACATAGAAAGAAAATAAAAAGAAAGGCACTTAGAACTTAACTTTGCTATTATTTAAACCAATATTTCTCAGAGTAAACTCTATATCTACAAGCAAGAAATTAGTGGATAACATAGTCAAAGTACTGAATGAAAAGAATCTCCAACCATGAAACCTTTACCCTGCATTCTCAGATAAGCCAACAGTTGAAGGCATTTGAAGTCTTTAGGCCAGTTCAATAAGAATTACTGAATGGCCTCCAATAAAAGGCAAATAACAGTAAAAACAATCATAATCCTTGTAGAAAAATGGCAATTTATATCAGTAAAGGTAAAGGTAAAGGTAAAGGCCCTCCTGTTGATCGTCGATTTGCTCGAGCGGGCCCAGTAACGTCTCCATTGGAGACTTTGTTGTTACTGTGTCTGGCATATCAAATACTCTCGGTAGCTTGCCGGGCTCTCTGAGAGGGGCGGAGGAATCGAACTCGGGTCGGCCATGTTGGCCGCTTGTAAGGCGAACGCCCTACCGCTGTGCTATCGCTCCAGTAATTTCTCTAAATGTCCATGGACTGAACTTTTCTGTTAAAAGGGACAGAACAGTTGGATGATCAGGAGGAAAAGTCAACACTGTCTACTTTACCAACGACACTTAAATCTCATGATAAACACAGGCTCTGAGTAAAAGATTGGGAAACAATTATAAAGGCCAATGATAGACTAAAAATTAGTGGGGATGGCCATATTTTCACCAGCTCAAATAAGACCAAACTAAATTAAAAAATAAGAGATTGACCTGGACATTACTCACTGGGTAAGGGACCAAAGAACTTAACTCTTATCAACATATATGAACCAAAGAAGCAGTAGAGTTTTATAAAACAAAGTGTTAATAGATCTAAAGTGATACCTCAACAGGCACAAAATAATAGTGAGAGATTTCAACACCCCCACTCACATGATTAGATAGCTCAACATTATAGACTAGAGCCTCAAAGAATTGCAATTAACATACCCTCGATCCCAATAAAATGAAATAAAGTTCTCCAGTGCAAAAAGAACATTCTCCAGAAAAAACACAATTTAAGAGATTATAAATTAAAAATAATAGAAATCAATGACATTGTGATCTGAAAAGATAGCTGGTATGATTTCTATTATTTTTAATTTATAAACTCTTTTCAGATCACAATGCCATCGAGAAATTAATTATGAAAAGAATGCCAAAGAAACAAACATTTTAAGAAATAAAATGATTCCTTGATGCAAATGAGAATGAAGACACAACTTTCAGAACCTATGGGATACAGCAAAAGCAGTAGGAAGTGGGAAACTCACGGCATAAAGAATTTCTAAAAATATTTCTCAAAACAAAAAAGAAGATTGTAATTTGACATGTATGTTCTGGTGCCCTGCTAGCTCTGTTTGGCTTGTAACTTTCAGATATTAATACATATTACTAGCACAACTTTCATCCATGTACCTAAGGTGTTATTCCAAAGTATCACAGGTATTTTCTCTTATACCTAACCAAAGAACTTAATTTATGTGTTGTTAAGATAATATCCAGTATCAAACTTTAAGATTTTGATGATTTTCCATAGGCAATGATTTTTAAATTTTGACATTTCCTCTTATATCTCTCTCTCACTAAATAGTTACAGCTATGTAACCTAAGAGGAGTCTGTACTGTTACATTCATGTCAAATAAAAGGAAACTGAGGTACATTCAAAGAGGTAAAATAACTTCCCCTAAGTGAGACCTAGTTAATAGCTAACATAACTTAGATTCTAAGACTCCTGATAGAAAAAGAAAATGTTTCTTTTATAACATGCACATCTTCTATCAAAAGAGTAATATTTCTTAAGACAAAGATTCTGTACTTCAAAATTAAAGGCGGGAAAGGGAAGATGATTTAGAGTGCTGGTTTGCATACTTTGTACACAGGAGCCCCAAGTTCAATACTGTCAAGTGATAAAGTTGGAGCGTTAGTATGTGGGCAGAGTGCTTGCTTTTCACGTGGCCATCTAGGGTTCAACCCCTGGCATCCCATGTGGTCTCCCAAGCACAGCAAGGAGCAAGAAATTCCTGAGTGCAGAGCTGGGATTCACCTCTAAGCATGGCTGGATGTGGCTCAAAAACAGAAACAGAACAAAAATCTGTCCTATGCCATTAACACTAAGGAAAGAAGCCACTTTTTGATGAAACTAAAAAAATAGCACCCTTTTCAGAGAAAATCAAATCAACTGGAGCCAGAGCGATAAAATAGCAGGTAGGGCATTTGCCTTGCATACAGCCTACCTGGGTTTGATCCATGAAACCCCGTATTGCTTCCCTAGCACTGCCAGGGTAATTCTTGAGTGTAGAGCCTATACTAATCTCTGAGCATCACCAAGTGTGGCCCAAAGACAAACAAACAAACAAACAAAAACTCCCAAAACAAACAAACAAAAAAAAACAAAGAAAAAAGAAAAACAACCCAATCAAGAGATAAAATCAATAAAGGCCTCTTATGAAAATATCTGCCTGCAATCCCCAGGTTTTCCTAGTTCCACAGCAGAACTATCTAAATGGTAACTGGATGACATCTTAACTATGCCATTTCAAGATGCCAACTCTCAGACTCCCAATCATAGTATTTGTTGAACCTTTTACGACTTAGTCAAAAAAAGTAAATGGTCAATTTTAAAGAGGCCCTTCTTTTTTCACCCCAACAAATGGTTCTACTGTGACCTCCAGAACAGCAGCAATAGCAGAATCATCTAAGCTTGTTGAAATTTGTATAAATTCTGAGTCCTAACCCATTCCTATTATATCATAAATCTTGAGATTGGATCCAGCAATTTATGTTTTTTAACAGGCCTGGATAATTCTTATGTATCTAAGAGATTAAGAATCAATGACGTAGACTACTGATGCTGGAAACACTTGTATATATTATATATACAATCTGTTTATAATTTGTCATTTTAAGAATGTCTTCTTCATAGTGAGTTAATCTGATTTCTATAATGTTCTCTTGTTTGCAGAGATAAATGTAGAACCCAGGGCTTACATATGCAAGATAGAAGCCTCACACTGAGCTACATCCTATTATCTGCTATAATGCACTTTTATTATCTGTTATAATGTACTTTTTTGGTTTGTTTTATTTTGGGGTGACATCCAGGGGTTCTCAGGGGTTACTCCTGGCTCTGCACACAAGAATCACTCCTGGGGATCCTCAGGGACCATATGGGATGCAAGAGATGTAGTTTAGTTGTTGCTATTTTAGTGTGGTACTGGAGGCAACCAGGGTTGCTCAGGAGGGCATGTGGTGCCAAGGGATCAAAACTAGAGTGTTATGCATGTGCTCAGCCTGCTAACTCCCTGCTCCCTAAAATGTACTCTAATGATAAATTTAATTTTGTCCTGCCCAGTGTTACATAAATTTTGCATACCATGTTAACTACCATAAATTATAAAGTGTTATTATTTTTAAGGTTGAATTACCATGAGTTACAAAGATATTTATGACTGATTTTCAGGTATACATTGTTCCAACACCAATTATTCACAGTGTCCACCACCCTTTACCAGTGTCCCTAGTTTCCTTCCTTTCCCATCCTGTCTCTGTGGCAGGCACTTTACCCTCCCCTATTGTCCTAGTGTTCCCTTCCTAAACTTATCCTCCTCCAACCAGCCCCCAGTGGAATCTTCCAACTGAAGACCAATTCTACTCTTCCTTTCTATTCCATTGGGCACTTGATAGTCCTTTGACATTTCTGTATATCTCACATATCAGAGAGATCATTCTGAGTCTATTCCTCTCTCTCTGACTGATTTTATTCAACTTGATACTCCCTATATCCACAATGCAGCAAATAACATAACTTTATCTTTATACTACGGCTTTATACTACAAGTAGTATTCCATTGTATGTGTGTGTGTGTGTACAAACACACCCTAGCTCCATAGTTTCTTTATCCAGTCATCTATTTGTGGGCATTTAGGTTGTTTTCATATTTTTGATATTGTATATTGTGTAAACTCAAAAAAATAACAGCAACGGAATGTTATCCTACAGTATATAGCACTACAATGAACAGAGTGCAGACGTCTTCTCTGCATTGAGCTTTTGGGCCCTTGGTTAAGTTCCAGGAATGAAACTGCTGGGTCATAAGTATGTTGAATTCCTAGTTTTTTGAGGAATATTGTCTTCTAAAAAGCCTGGACTAGCTGACATTCCCACCAGCAGTGAAGGAGGGTCCTTTTTCTCCCTAAATACTTTACATACTAATTGTTCTTTTGATGAGTGCCACTCTCTGTGGTATAAAGTGGTGTCTCATTTATATTTCTTCCTTGAGTAAACTCCTGTTCATCTCTTTATCCCCATTTTTTGAAAGGGTTGGATTTTTTTCTTGTAGAAGTCTACCAATGTTTCATATATCTTGGACATTAACCCTGTGTAGGATGAGTAGTGAGCAAATAATTTCTCCCAGCCTGTGGACTGTGTTTGTATTCTGGTCATCATTTCCTTTGAGGTATAGAAGTTTCATTGTTTAATATAGGCCCATTTATCTTTGCTTTTAATTGATTGGTCAGTGGCATTTCATCTTTAAAGATACCTCTATCTTCAATTTGATGGAAAATTCTACCTAAATTCTCCTCGATGTACCTTATGGATATAAGGTCTGATATCTAGGTCTTCAATCCATTTTGACTTGACTTTTGTGCATGGCATTAGA